TCTTGTCACAAACAAACAAAGAATCCAACTTAGTTGGACATGGGGACATACATGTGTTACTCAGGAGGCTGAGGTGGGAGGATGATTTGAGCCCAAGAGTTTGAGACTACATGAACTATCACAAACCACTGCATTCCAGTTTAGATGACAAAGACCCTGTCTCTAAAAAAGAAAAAAAGAGAAATTAAAAAAAAAAAAAACCCTCATAGGTTACTGTGGGGTTAAATGAGATAATGCATGCAAAGTGCTCAGGACAGCGCCTTCCCATGGCCAGTGCTCCATGAAAGTGAATGGTTATTGCCTTGGCAACAAGACCCTTTTCACCTTTGCACACTGCTTCCCAGGAGCTTCTCCTTCCATTCCACAGGGTTCATTCTCAATATGTGCCAAGAACCAATGAACCAGATGATGGTTCTGACTCCATGTCTAGCCTCATCCTTCTACATCACAACTGCTTTGTTACCGTTTTTAGTTGAACATATCATCTGCCAGTAGCATACAGTATGATGACTTGACAAACTACAAAGCAAACCCAGAAATATCTGTAGTCAAACCACACAGTCCCATTCTGAGACCCCCTCCAAAGAGCCCCCTCATAACTTTGGGGATTGTAGGAATGCCTGCCACTTGGTGCTAGAAATGCCTATGTCCCTTCTTCAAGCCCTCTGCAATCTGCAAAACTGAAGGGGAAGAAGTGTCGCCAAGCAGGAGCTAGACATCCTCACGGCCTCCTCCCTGCCTGGCACTGGTATCCTCACCTATCTACTGTGTTGTAACATGACCCTCTCCCTCAGAGCCAGGTTGCCCGCAAGCCAGTAATGAAGTGTTTTTATAACCCTGAAAGAAATACTTAAATAAAGTATGTGGCTGGACTATCAAACCCACAAATATAAAAATATTGTGGTGCTCACACACATGCAATGCATGCTGATTAATGACCAGCTCCAAAAATGTTTTACTTGCCATCATAGAGAAATGGGTTGATTGAAGATAAAGGTTTTCATTTTTTAAAAATTAATTAATTTTTTCTTTTTTAAAGACAGGGTTTCACCATGTTGGTCAGGCTGGTCTTGAACTCCCAACCTCAGGTGATCAGCCTGCCTTGGCCTCCAAAGTGCTTGGATCACTCCAAAGGCATAAGCCACCATGCCCAGCCCGAAGATAAAGGTTTTCAATAGACTGATACATAATGAAGTGAATTATAGTTCATTCACTCCTTCAACAAATACTCACTGAGCCCTACCATGGACCAGATGAGCAGCATGCTGGGGATGCAGTGGTGGGCAAAAAAGACAGAATTGCTGCCTTTGATGACCTCATCTTCTAGAGAGGGATATAGATATGCAACAAATATAGAATTATAAGCTGTGGTAAAAGCCACAGAGGAGAGGGACATAGTGATCAGGGAGCAAACCACAGAGATCTGATCTGGTCTGCCAGTCAAAGGAGGCTGCCCAGAGAAAGTAATGAGTATACAGAGTACATGATAGAATGGGGATCTGGGGAAGAAGCCTCAGCATAGGGGAGAGTGTCCAAGGATTACACTAGGGTCACCTTGAGGTCTGGGGCAAGAGAACTGTCTATCAAAAACGTCTTTTATCCAGAGGCCCACTGTGTGTCTTGGGGAAATGGCAGAGAAGATGCTGGGATTCAAGGTTGGGCTGTAGGGGCTGGGCGCGGTGGCTCACGCCTGTAATTCCAGCACTTTGGGAGGCTGAGGCAGGTGTATCGCCTAGGGTCAGGAGTTCAAGACCAGCCTGTCCAACATGGTAAAACCCCATCTTTACTGAAAATACAAAAATTATCCAGGTGTGGTGGTGCATGCCAGTAGTCCCCCCACCTACTTGTGAGGCTGAGGCAGGAGAACTGCTTGAATCTGGAAGGTGGAGGGTGCAGTGAGCCGAGATCGCGCCCCTGCACTCCAGACTGGGTGACAGAGTGAGACTGCATTTCAAAAACAGGCTGGGCTCCTAAATAAGAAAAGTAGAAAAATGTTGCCCCAAACTTCTGAGGGAAGCAAGTTGGGTGGGCAGGAACTCGTCCTGAGGTAGGAGTGCACTGGGCCACATGAACACCACCTGGAAGAACTAACTGGTATCTCGTTCACAAGCCAGACTATTCAGGGTCTGGCCCACACTCAAGAGAGCTGGGCTTGATGACAGCAGAGGAACCATCTCTCCCCTTGCATTAGCAGAGATGCCAGCTGCAGTTGAATGTCACGAGGGCCAGGATAGTGGCCCTGGTCTCTTTTTGGCAGCCAGTGGCTAGGGCAGTAAGAAAAGGGCAGCTACACAGAGTAGTAGACATGGGAAAGCCAAGGGAAGCTTCAGCTGAGAGTGAGCGGCACAGTCAGTCTTGTGGAGAGGATAGGCCCCGGGTGCTGAGATCTCACCTAGTGACTTCAATGTGTTGGGGCCTTGTCTTAGAGATCACAGAATTGTTTTACTGACCCATATGTTGTCAGATTATGAAAACATGATGATATCGTTTGGAAAATGTCCAGAATTGGGAGGTAACATGGTTCGTGGTCCCTTGAAACAAGTGGCAGTCTCTTGGGGGACATTTTCAGCAGGACTGATATGTCAGAAGTACAATAACACCCGTGACATTCCGGATTTAAGTAAGACCTGGGACATCAAAAACCTCATTTACTGCAGGCTCTGGTTCTTTGGGTGCCCACAACTTCCCCCCTTTTTGTAGAGCCATTCATGATTGAAAAATATATCAAAAGAAACAAGTAGGAAACCTTAATATTTATAGTTATTTAAGGAAATGCAAATACAAACCCACTAAAACACTTATTTATTTACTTTTTTGAGAAACAAAGTCTTGCTTTGTCACCCAGGCTGGAGTGTAGTGGCACGATCATAGCTCACGGCAGCCTCTAACTCCTAGGCTCAAGCAATCCTCCCTCCTCAGCCTTCCGAGTAGCAAGGACTCCAGGCACATGCCATCACACCTGGCTAATGTTTAACTTTTTTTTTTTTAGACAGAATCTCACTCTGTCATCCAGGTTGGAGTGCAGTGGCGCATTCTCAGCTCACTGCAACCTCCAACTCCCTGGTTCAAGTGATTCTCGTGCCTCAGCCTCCCTAGTAGCTGGGATTACAGGCATGTGCCACCACACCTAGCTAATTTGTTTGTATTTTTAGTAGAAATGGGGTTTCACCACATTGGCCAGGATGGTCTCGATCTCCTGACCTCGTGATCTGCCCGCCTAGGCCCCCCAAAGTGCTGGGATTACAGGCGTGAGCCACCACACCTGGCCTGTTTAAAAAAAATTTTTTTTTTGTAGAAATGAGGGCTCACTATGTTGCCCAGGCTTTAATAATAATAATAATAATAATAATAATAATAATAATTTGAACTCCTGGACTCAAGCGATCCTCCCATCTCGCCTCCTAAAGTGCTGAGATTACTGGCATGAGCCACCTTGCACAGCCAATAAAGTACTTTTTTAAAGCAAAATTGAAAAACCACTTTTATCATTCAACAGTTTAACATTCTTAGTTTTTGCAATAGCTAACCTAAAGGTACAAAGGAAGCAGAATTAGATATACGGTCTCTATCCCCTTGAAATTAATTGGCTAACTGGGAGCCAGCCATTAATTAAATAATTGCCCTAAGACATATATAATCACAAATAAACAGGAGGGTCATAAAGATGAGGTACATCTCACTGTGAGAGCTTATGGCAGGCCAACTTATCTACTGGACGGGGTCAAGGAGGCTCCCCTGAGGAAGTGACAATTGAGAAGGTCTGAAGGATGAGAAGGAGTTAACCTTCGCTCTTTTTACCTAGGCTGGAGTGCAATGGCGTGATCTCGGCTCATCGCAACCTCTGCCTCCTGGGTTCAATGCAAGGTAGAAGCAGGGGAGGGAAAGCATTTCAGAGGCAACAGCATGTACAGAGGCTCTGTGGTGGGCAGGAGAGCAGGTGTAACTGAGTACCAGAAAGGCTTATGCGGCTAGAGGAAGTGTTTTAGGAAGTGGAGGTCAGACAGGAAGACAGCGTGGACCATACAGGGTCTATGGCTGCGCTGAGTATGTAGGTCTTTATTCTACAGCTGTGCTGAGTATACGGGGCTTTACCCTAAGAGTGGAGCTATTAAAGGATGTAAGCAGAATTGGGCTGGAATGGGACAATGGAGACATGAGGAGACAGAAAGGAGGCTATTGCAACAGTTTAGACACAAGACAATGTTAGTCATCACCTTACTAGTGGCACTAGAGAGATGGAGGAGAGATACAGAGAAGTGGAGGCATCTTGAAGATAAAACAAAACTGATGACTGACTGGAACATGGGGAGAAAAAGGGGTTATGTAAGATTCCCAGGTGTGTGGCCTGTGGAACTGGATGAATAGAAGTCTTGTTCATCGTGACAGGAATAGAGTACAAAAGCAAGGCCTGGGCTATGTACAGTGGCTCATGCCTATAATCCCAGCACTTTGGGAGGTCAAGGTGGGAGGATCTTTTGAGGCCAGGAGTTCAAGAACAGCTTGTACAACATAAGGAGACTCTGTCGCTACAATAAATAAATTAGCTGGGTGTGGTGGCACATGGCTATAGCCCCAGCTACTCAGGGCTGAGGCAGAAGCACCACTTGAGCTCAGGAATTCAAGGCTCCAATGAGAAATGATCACAATGCTGCACTCAAGCCTAGGCGACAGAGCAAGACCCCGTCTTTTTTTTTTTTGAGACGGAGTTTCGCTCTTTTTACCTAGGCTGGAGTGCAATGGCGTGATCTCGGCTCACTGCAACCTCTGCCTCCTGGGTTCAAGCAATTCTCCTGCCTCAGCCTCCGGAGTAGCTGGGACTACAGGCGTGCACCACCATGCCCAGCTAATTTTTGTATTTTTAGTAGAGATGGGGTTTCACCATGTTGACTAGGATGGTCTCGATCTCTTGACCTCGTGATCCACCCGCCTTAGCCTCCCAAAGTGCTGAGATTACAGGTGTGAGCCACTGCACCCGGCGACCCTGTCTTTAATAATAATAATAATACTTTTTAAAAAGCAAGGCTTGCTTGTTGTTTTATTTGCTCCTTTCCTTCCCCTTCCCTTTTCTCCTCTTTCCCTTCCTGATATGGTTTGGATGTTGTGTCCTCTTCAAACCTGATGTTGAAATGTGACCTCCAATGTTGGAGGTGGGGCTAGTGGGAGATGTTTAGGTCATGGGTGCCAATCCCTCATGAGTGGGACAGCTTGGTAGTGCTGTCCCCACGGTAACGAGTGAGTTCTCATTCTGTGAGTTCATACAAGATCAGGTTGTTTTAAACGAGTCTGGCACTGGGCCAGGTGCAGTGGCTCACACCAATAATCCCAGCACTTTGGGAGGCTGACATGGGTGGACTACCATCCTGGCCAATATGGTGAAACAAAAATTAGCCAGGCATGGTGGTATGCGCCTATAGTCCCAGCTACTTGGGAGCTGAGGCAGGGGAATCACTTGATCCTGGGAGATGGAGGTTGCAGTGAGCTGAGATCATGTCACTGAACTCCAGCCTGGTGACAAAGCAGAATTCCATCTCAAAAAGAGTCTGGTAGCCGGGTGCAGTGGCTCACGCCTATAATCCCAGCACTTTGGGAGGCCGAGGCGGGTGGATCACGAGGTCAAGAGATCGAGACCATCCTGGTCAACATGGTGAAACCCCATCTCTACTAAAAATACAAAAATTAGCTGGGCATGGTGGCGCGTGCCTGTAGTCCCAGCTACTTGGGAGGCTGAGGCAGGAGAATTGCTTGAACCCAGGAGGCGGAGGTTGCGGTGAGCCGAGATCGCACCATTGCACTCCAGTCTGGGTAACAAGAGCGAAACTCCGTCTCAAAAAAAAAAAAAGACTCTGGTACCTCCTTCTCTCTTCCTTGCTCCGTCTCACCATGTGACACACCTGCTCCCCCTCCACCTTCTACTCTGAGTAAAAACTTCCTGGGACCTCACCAGAAGCTGAGCAGATTCTGGTGCTATGTTTGTAGAGCATGCAGAACTGTGACTCAAATAAAACTCTTTTCTTTGTAAATCCCCCAGTCTCAGGTATTCCTTTATAAGCAATGCAAAACAGACTAACACACTTCCTCCTCTACTCCTTTTTCTTGGGGAAAAAACCAAGAATTTTGAACATGTCTAATTGTAAGTACCTCTGAGATGCCTAAGTGGTGGTGCTAATTAGCATCCAGATACATGACTCTGTGACATAGAGGGTGAACCCTGGGCTGCAGATCTGTATTTGAGATCAATGGCATAGATGGTACTTGAAACCTCAGGCATTTGGCTGGGCATGGTGGCTCACGCCTGTAATTCCAACACTTTGGGAGGCTGAGGCAGGAGGATTGCTTGAAGCCAGTAGTTTGAGGTCAGTCTGGGCAATAAAGCAAGACCCTATTTCTACAAAAACAACAACATAAAACAGGCGTGGTGATGCACACCTGTGGTCCCAGTACTCAGGAGGCTGAGGAAGGACTGCTCGAGGCCAGGAGTTGGAGACAGAAGTGAGTTATTATGGCACCTCTATACTCCAGCCTGGGTGACAAAATGAGACTTCATCTCTAAAAAAGAGAAGAAAAAGGAAACATTGGGCAAGAATGAGAGAGCTAGGGAAAACATACAGTAAGAGAAAGGGGCCTGGGGAAGACCTTGATAAGCGACTGAATGTAGGAAATTAGCCCACAAAAGGGCCAGAGGAGTAGGGAGGGGTCAGAGAGTGAAGAGCAACACTAGCAGAGGGGCTATCCAGAAAGCTAAGGGAGGAGGGTATTTCGGCAGAGACAGTGTGATTCTCAGGGCTGAATCCTGCTGGGAGGTCAAGAACAAAGCCTGAGATGCCCACTGGATCTAGTGAGTCAGAGGTGATCATGGGAAAATGATTCTATGGAGTGATGGGGGCTGGAGTCGAGGAATGAATAGGAAGTTCAGAAAAGGAGACAAAGCATATAAACAACTCTTTCTAGAAGCTTGGGTATTCTATTAGCACATGCAATTGTGAAGTTGAAACCACTGTATTAGGATTCACTGAGGCGAAAACCATATTTCAATGGAAAGAGAGCCACTGTTTGTCCATAGGAAACCCACATGCTAAAACAGAATTGGTGCCCCTCTTAATGAATCTGTGGAGCCTTGATTCTGGTAGGAGTGCCACATATATCATGACAGCAACAAAACAAATGGTCTTCATTTTGGGTACGCACCTGTAAAACTACACAGCACGATCTGTATGTTCAGATGGTTTGGTAGACAATTACTGACACAGGGGCATTTTTAGCCCTTTGATCTACTAGGAACAGGAAGTAGCAGAAAAAGACTAATCGCGGTGATGGATGTGCACATCAGAACTCCTGACTCTCTCCATGTATCAGCACCCAGGTCTCACCACCATTGCCTGTGACACATCAAATAGCACTGAGATCACTTCAAAACCATGAGGCAAGGTCTGCTACGGAAACACAGGCATGCAGCATTCATTCAGTTCACAAATAAGAACAATGAGGGAATGGGAGATTTGGGGACTGAAACATACACTGAAACCCACACTTTGATGCTTGATCATGTCAGAAGCAGGAGATTATTTCAGTCATTCTGGATCGCAATACTTGAGACATTTTGACCAATTTGAAGACACTGACAACACTCACTTGGAACTGAACAGGAATCAGCACACTTTCCTGATCTGTGTGCACATGCCAAAAATCTCCTAACCCTAACTTCTCATACCTGAAGTTTCTGTTTCAGTGACAGGCACCCCTTTTATTTTATCCTTTTTACCCGGAAAACGGATCCTGAAAAGTTGAAATATATGTCAGGAGAATAGGGAATGTTTGACTTTCAAACTGGTATTCGTTAAGGCAAGTATCTCAATGGCACATCACATTGACACCAGCCATGCCTCACATTAAGAGCGCTGGCACTTAAAAACGGGTTTGGGCACACTTGAACATATTTATTCACAGGCTGAGCATATATTAAAGGGAAGAGTTTTCAGGGACAGTTATTTGACAGTGACAGTTATCTACATTCATACATCAGGTATTTGCTTCTCCCCATCTATAAGCTCCTTCTTGGGTTTAAGAAAGTTAGCCAGGCATGGTAGCACACACCTGTAGTCATAGCTACTCGGGAGGCTGAGGCAGGAGAATCGCTTGAACCTGGGAGGCAGAGGTTGCAGTGAGCCGAGATCACGCCATTGCACTCCAGTCTGGGTGACAGAGTGAGACTTCGTCTCAAAAAAACAAAAACAAAAAAAACCCCACACCAGCTTTATTATAGGCTCATGCCTATAATCCCAGCACATTAGGAGGCTGAGGTGGGAGGATCACTTGAGCCCAGAAGTTTGAGAACAGCATGGGCAACACAGGGAGACCCCGTCTCCACTAAAAAATTAAACAAATTAGCTAGGCGTGGTTGTACATGCTGGTGGTCCCAGCTACTTGGGAGGCTGATGTGGGAGGACTGCTTGAGCCTGGGAGGTTGACGCTGCAGTGAGCCCCACTGTACTCCAGCATGGGTGACAGAGTAAGACTCTGTCTTAAAAAACAAAAAACAAGGTACAGGACCTGTCAAAGTATCTTGTTCCTGCTGCAGATTCACTTTAACAAATACTGATGTCTCTAATGTACAATATGGTAACTAGAATAATAATAATGTGTTATATTTGAAATTTGCTGAGAGTAGATCTTTTTTTTTTTTTTTTGGTCTCCCAAGGCTGTGTCATCTAAGAAAGAGTAGATCTTAAACATTTTCAACACACACACACACACACACACAAAGGTAACTATATGAGGAGATGGATATGTTCATTAGCTTGATTGCATTAATCACTTCACGATGTATATAAATATCAAAACAGGATGTTGTACACCTTAAGTATATACCATTTTTGTCAGTTATACCTCAGTAAGGCTGGAGGGAAAATGCCAATGTTTCCATGTCTCCAGGAGAAATGAATGAGGCAAGTGGGTCAAGGCAGGATGCCTGTGTGCAGATGAGACTGGGGTCCCCTGGAATAGCCACCTATTTCCACAGGCAGGTGGCAGCCTCCAGCCGGGGCTGCACAGAGAGATGTGGAAAGAACCCCCTGGCAGAAGAGTGGGGACAGTGACAAATTACAATCACAAAACTTCCCTACTGGGTGCAAGTCAGGAATCCATCTAACGGGAGTTAGAGATAATGTAAGTACCTACAGCCCTTGCAGAGATAATTCAGATATTTAAATTCACTCACCTGTAAATGGTGCTTCCAGAAAAAGGAGTTGGGCTGAAGGAAAGTAGGAGAAAGACCCTCAGAGGGCCAGGAGTGTTGCAGTGGAGAGGGTCCACACAAAGCAGCCAGAATCTACATTTAAAAAAAAAATTTTTTTTTTAGTCAAGGTACTGCTTTGTCATGGAGGCTGGAGTGCAGTGTTACGATCACAGCTCATTGCAGACTCAATCTCCCAGGCTCAAGCCACTTCCCACCTCAGCCTTCCGAGTAGCTGGGACGAGCCACCATGTGTACAGACAGGGCCTCATTATGTTGCCCAGGCTGGTCTTGAACTCCTGGCCTCCAGCCATCACCCCACCACCTCACCAGGCCAAAATTTACATTTTTATTTTAGTTCAGTGCTGGGTCCAAGAAGACTGGGTCTCTGGACTGTTAGATGGGAGTGAGTTCTCTCTACTTTTGGGGGCCTGAGCAAGGTGAGGGTGCTGGGGTTGGCTGGTTGGGTTATGGGACAGTAGGCATGTCCAAAAGGTGCCACCCTTTGGCTGCCCTCTCTGTAAACCTCAGGCTCTTGCTTTTACAACGCTGCCTCCAACCTCTTTTCATCTGTCTTCCTTGTCAACATAGGACTTTAAAGTTTATAGCAAGACCTCTTCTGTGCAGCACATGCTCAAGACAATCAATCTTGTTCACCACTTTCATTTTTTGAAAGAATTGGTGGGATTTGGAGGAATGATTCCACCGTAGTCTTTCTTCAATCCCAGCTTTAATATTATGGTTTTAGCATCTGCACATATGTTTTGTTAATGTGTGTGTGTATGTATAAAGACAGAAGTCTTGCTATGTTGCCCAGGCTGGTCTCAAACTCCCGGCCTCAAGCAATCCTCCCGCCTTAGCCTCCCAAAGTACTGGGCTTACAGGTGTGAGCCACTATGGTACATATATATGTGTATGGATATACTTGCCATTATTACCTTATAACTTTTATTCTTAAAAAAAAAAAGAAAAAAAAAAGAAAAACCTGTAATCCCAGCACTTTTGGAGGCTGAGGCTGGTGGATCATTTGAGGTCGGGAGTTCAAGACCAGCCTGGCCAACATGGTGAAACCCTGTCTCTACTAAAAATACAAAAAAAAATTAGCCAGGCATGGTGGTATGCACCTGTAGTCACAACTACTTGGGAGGCTGAGGCAGGAGAGTGGTTTGAACCCAGGAGGCAGAGGTTGCTGTGAGCTAAGATCGTGCCACTGCACTCCTGCCTGGGTGACGGAGCTAGACTCCATCTCAAAAGAAAAAAAAAAAATCTATCAGCCAAGTATAGTGGCTCACGCATGTAATCTCAACTTTGGAAGGCCAAGGTAGGAGGATCACTTGAGCCCAGGGGTTCAAGGCCCACCCGAGCAACAAAGCAAGACCTTTTCTCTACAAAAAAAAATTTGGGGGGCAAAGGTCTCACCCTGTCACCCAGGCGGCTGGAGTACAGTAGTATGATCTTGGCTCACTGCAACCTCCACCACCCAGGCTCAAACAATCCTCCCATCTCAGTCTCCTGAGTAACTGGGATCACATATTCAAGCCAACATACCTGAATAATTTTTTGGTAGGGGGGTAGAGACCGGGTTTTGCCACATTTCCCAGGCTGGTCTCAAACTCTGGGACTCAAGTGATCTGCGTGCCTCAGCCTCCCAAAGTGCTGGAATTATAGGCATCAGCCACTGTGCCTGGATCTAAATTAAAAAAAAAAAAAAAAAAGCCAGGCATGGTGTCATGTACCTGTGATCCCAACTACTTAGGAAGCTAAGGTGGGAGGACTGCTTGAGCCTAGGAGGTCAAGGATGCAGTGATTTGAGACTGTTGTCACTGCACTCCAGCCTGGGTGGCAGAGTGGGACCTTGTCTAAAAAAAATTTTTAAAGAGATAGCTATTAAAATTTGTTTTAGTCAGGTTCTCCAGAGAAAACAGGACAAATGGGATATATATATATAAAATATAGAAAGATTTATCCTAACGAGAAGTCCCAAGATCTGTAATTGGCAAGCTGGGACCCAGGAGTATCAAAAATATACTCCATTTGGAGTCCAAAAGCCTGAAAAGCAGGAGAGCCAATAGTATAAATTCTAATCTGAAAGCTGGCAGGCTTTAGACCTGTAAGAGCTTATGTTTCAATTCGAGTCTGAGGCAGGAAAAGACCAGGATCCCACCACTCCAGGCAGTTGGGCAGAAGGAGTTATCCCTTTACTCTGGAGGGAAGGTTAGCATTTTTGTTTTATTGAGACCCTAAACTGGGTGAATGAAGCCCACTCATGTTAGGAAAGGCAATCTGCTTTACTCAGTCTACCCATTCAAATGTTAATCTTTTCCTAAAATATTCTCACAGTCATACCAAGAATAATGTTTGGCCAAATATTAGGGCTCCCTGTGGCCCAGTCAAGTGGACATGTAAGATTAACCATTACGCCGCGTGCGATGGCTCACGCCCGTAATCCCAGCACTTTGGGAGGCCGAGGCGAGTGGATCACGAGGTCAAGAGATCGAGACCATCCTGATCAACATGGTGAAACCCTGTCTCTACTAAGAATACAAAAAAAATTAGCTGGGCATGGTGGTGCATGCCTGTAATCCCAGCTACTCAGGAGGCTGAGGCAGAAAAATTGCCTGAAACCAGGAGGTGGAGGTTGCGGTGAGCCAAGATTTTCGCTCCATTGCACTCCAGCCTGGGTAACAAGAGTGAAACTCCATCTCAAAAAAAAAAAAATGATTAACCATTACAAAAATAGAGCACAGGAAGACCTGCTGCTGCACCTAAAACCAACAGTCATACATTCTACCGGCTAGTTCACAAGATTACATCCAACAATGGTGCTGGTAAGTACTTTGGAAAAATGGCCACAATTTAGAGTATTACATGCATTATCCGAATCTAAGTCTCCAAACCCCATTCTATAGATCTAGAAACCAAGGCTGCAAGAAGTGGAGCAATTTACCCAGCGCCATACAGAGAAGTCAGGAACAAGGAATCTGAACACAAATCTGCCCGATTTCCCACTCTGTGTGCTCTTACTACTATGCCAAACACCCCAAGGACAATATGCCTTTACAAGGAAAGGGGTCGAAGTGTTCTATTCTGTGGTACAGTTCAACGAAATAATATTTACAGGTATTCCAAGCATCAAAATCTTTTTATGCATAGTCTAAAAAAAAATACAGTAGGTGAGAAAATAAATTTGTTCTTACCAATTTTTAGATTTATTATAGTTTTTTAAGCACAAATAAAAAACGGTCAATGTTTATTATAATTTAAAAACTTCAGCCGGGCGCAGTAGCTCACACCTGTAATCCCAGCACTTTGGGAGGCCGAGGTGGGCGGATCACAAGGTCAAAAGATCGAGACCATCCTGGCCATGGTGAAACCCCGTCTCTATTAAAAATAACAATAATAATAATTTTAAAACTTCAGGCCAGGTGCAGTGGCTCACACCTGTAATCCCAGCACTTTGGGGAACCAAGGCGGGCGGATCACCTGAGGTTGGGAGTTCGAGACCAGCCTGACCAACATGGAAAAACCCCATCTCTACTAAAAATACAAAATTAGCCAGGGGTGGTGGCATATGCCTGTAATACCAGCTACTCAGGAGGCTGAGGCAGGAGAATGTCTTGAACCTGGGAGGCGGAGGTTGTGGTGAGCTGAGATCATGCCATTGCACTCCAGCCTGTGCAACAAGAGTGAAACTCCGTCTCAAAACAACAACAAAAACCTTCAGGAAGTTGATTCTCCATTTCTATTTATTTATTTATTATTTGAGATAGGGTCATACTCTGTCACCCAGGCTGGAATGCAGTGGCAAGATCACAACCCCCTGGTGCCTTGACCTCCCAGGCTGAAGAAATCCTCTCGCCTCAGCCTCCTGAGTTGTTGGGACTACAGCTGCCCTCCACCACTCCCTGACAATTTTTGTATTTTTTGCAGAGATGGGGTTTTGCCCTGTCTCTACAAAAAAAAAACATGAGACCCTTGGGGCCCAAGAAATCCTTCCACCTTGGCCTCTAGAAATGCTGGAACTACAAGTGTTAGCCACCACGCCCACCTGATGCTACATTTCTGGAAACTACAAATAACGACATGGGGATTATAAAAGCCAGAGTGCTCATCATCAAAGCAAGAGAAAAACATAACCTTTTTTTTTTTTTTAATTTGATGTTTTGCTTGATCGCCCAGGCTGGGGTGCGGTGGTGTGATCTCGGCTCACTATGACCTTCACCTCCCAGGTTCAAGCGATTCTCCTCCCTCAGGCTCCCGAGTAGCTGGGATTACAGGTGCCCACCACCAGGCTAGGCTAAATTTTGTATTTTTAGTACAGACGAGTTTTCCACCATTTGGTCAGGCTGGTCTGGAACTACTGACCTCAGGTGATCCACCTGCCTCACCCAAAGTGCTGGGATTACAGGCGTGAGCCAGTGTCCAGCCGAAAAACGTAACTTTGGGGGAAAAAAATACATGCAAAGGAGTACACATAAAATATATGCACAGTTCGAAGAGTAATAAAATAAATGCTCAGGTACCCAGACCCTTCATCTACCTGGGCAGGAAGGTTGCCTTAAGGGTTGGTGCCGAAGCACTAGGGGACCGGCTTCCTCCAGCGTGGCGCTGCTGAGCACCCGCTCTGAGCATTTCTGCGGGCTACAAAGCAGTTTCCAGGACCAGGAATGGCGGGTCCGCCCACTGCCCGCTTAGTCTCTGCCTGTCCTGGGGATGTGGTTCCCCTCAGCCGGCAGCACGTTTTCCATGGCTGAGGAAAGGAAAGGCCTCCTGCCAGGAAACCCAACATGGTGGGAAAGCTGGTTGACACTTGGGCTTCTCTTTTCCCATGAGGGAACCTGCGCGACGAGGGAAGTTTCTCCGCACCTAGCGTGGGGCTCAGTGGTGGGATAGGATGTGGCAGCTGTGGAAGCCCGATTTACCTACCCCATGCTCTGAGGCTTTTCACTTCTGTGCCCCTGGGATATGTCTCATACTCAAATCTGATCTCCAGGTTGTTGCTGGGGAAAATCTCAGGGCTGCATATGTGTTTTTTGCTTTCCAGGGGCTGGAGAAGCCGCCATTTTAAAACGGGAACTCCCCTTTTCGTGCTGAATCATCTCAACTCCGCTAGAAGTTAGAAGATAGAGGCAGCCACCAGGCTTATGCCCGGAAACCCAGCGATGTGGGAGGCCCAGGCGAAGGATCGCCTGAGGGTAGGAGTTGGAGAGCAGCCTGGGCAACGTGGAGAAACCCCTCCAACCACCTCCCCACACCGTCCCTACAAAAAAATACAAAAATTAGCCGGACGGTGGCGTGCTACTCGGGATGCGAGGTAGGAGGTTCGCTTGAGCCCAGGAATTTGAGAACAGCCCGAACACAATAGCCAGACGCCATCTCTACAAAAACAAAAACAATCTGGAGACAAAGTCTCACTCTGTCACCCAGGATGTCGCCCAGGCTGGAGTACAGTGGCGTGATCGTGGCTCACTGCAAACTCTGCTTTGCGGGCTCTAACACTCTTCCCTCCTCCCGAGTATCTGGTACCACAGGTGTGGGCAGCCACATCTGGCTAATTTATTGGTTTTGGGTTGTCACTGTTGTTTTTGGTAGAGATGGGGTGTGGCCATGTTGTCCAGGCTGGTCTTGCTAGTCCTGGATTCAAGCGATCCGCCAGTCTTGGCCTCCCAAAGTGTTAGGAATATGGGTGTGGGCCACGGTGCCCAGCTAATTTTTGTATTTTTAGTAGACACCGGGTTGCACAATGTTGGCTTGACTGGTCTCGAACTCCTGACCTCAGGTGTTCCGCCCTCCTCCGCCTCCCAAAGCGCTGGGATTACAGGCGTGAGCCACCGTGCCTGGCCGAAAAACATAACTTTTAGGAAAAAAAAATACATACAAAGGAGTATACCTAAAATATGCGCAGTTTGAAGAATAATATAATAAACCATCAGGTACACACTCCCTTTGTCTACCTGGCTGGGAAGGCTACCTAGAGGTTGGCGCCCAAGCACCCGGGGACTGTCCTCCTCCAGTGAGGCGCTGTTGAGTATCCGCTCTCATTGAGCATCTCCACCTGCTACAGAGCAGCTTCCAGGGCTGGGGATCATGGTCCGTCTACCGCCCCCTTTGCCTCTGCCTGTCCTGGAAACGTGGCTCCCTTCAGCAGGCAACACGTTTTCCATGGCTGAGGCAAGGACAGGCCTTACCAGGCAACCCAACAAGGTGGGAAAGCTGGTTGGCGCTTGGAACACATTTTTTTCCACCACGGAATCCGCGCACTGAGAGAAGAGTTTCCCGGCACCTGGTGCAGCCATCAGTGGTGGGAGGGGCGTGGCCGATGTGGAAGCCCGATTTTCCTGCCGCTTGCTTAGAATATTTTCACTTCTACAAGCCTCCCCCCCACCCAGCTCCCCCGGGGATCTGTCTCTTCCTGAAATCTGTGCTCTAGGTTGTCGCTGAGGAAAATCTCAGGGCTGCATATTTGTTTTTGGCTTTCTAGGGGGCGGGGAAGTCAAGCCGCCATTTTAAAACCAGAAATCCCCTTTCTCGCTGAATCATCTGGGCTCGGCCAGAAGTTAGAAGATGGAAGCGCCCAAGGGACTCATGCCAGGAATTGCAGAGATGTGGGAGGCCCAGGCGGAAGGAGAGACTCCGCCCCCCCCCCGCCGACCCTCCCCTCCCCCCCGTCCCCCCCCCCCCCCCCGCCTCTAGAAAAAATACAAAAATTAGGCGGACGGTGGCGCGCATCTGTAATTCCAGCTACTCGGGAGGCTCAGGTGGGAGGATCACTTGAGCCCAGGAGTTGGACAGCAGCCCAATCAACACAGCGAGACCTCACCTCTACAAAAAAAAAAAAAAAAAGTAAATTCCTATTTTTTTGTAGAGGTGAGGTATTACTCTGTCACCCAGGCTGTCGCTCTGGCTGGAATACAGTGACATGATTTCGGCTCTCTGCAAACTCCACCTCGCGGACTCAAAGAATCTTTCCTTCTCCAGAGTAGCTGGGACCACAGGTGTGGGTAGCCACGCCTAACTAATTTTTTAGCTTTGGGTGGTGGTGGTGGTGGTTTTTGGTAGAGACGGGATTGCGCGATGTTGCCCAGGCTGGTCTTTGTAGACTCAAGCAATCCGTTAGCCCTGGCCTCCCCAAGTGTATGGATTACAGGCGTGAGCCACCGTGTTAGCTAAGTTTTTTATTTTTAGTAGAGATGGGTTTGCACCGTGTTGGCCAGGCTGGTTTTGAACTCCTGACCTCAGGCGATCCGCCAGCCTAAGCCTCCCAAAGTGCTGGGATTTACAGGCGTGAGCCACCGTGCGCAGCCGAAAAACATAACATGGAAGAAAAAAAAAACATTCAAAGGGGTATACAGTTCTAAGATGAATAAAATAACCCTCGGGTACCCATTCCCTCCGTCTGCCTGGGCGGAAAGCTGCCTAGGGGTTTGTGCCCAAGCACCTGGGGACCATCCTCCCGAGAGGCAGTACTGAGTACGAGCAATGATTGAGCATCTCTGATTACTACAGAGCAGTCTCCAGGGCAGGGGGATGGGTCCGCCCACTGCTCTTTGCCTCTGCCCGTCCTGGGAACGTGGCTCCCTTCAGCAGGCACCATGTTTTCCGTGGCTGAGGCAAGGACAGGCCTCCGGCCAGGAAACATGGCGAGAAGGCTGGTTAAAGCTTGGGACTCACTTTTTCCACATGGAACACGCGCGCTGAGCGAAGTTTCCCCGCGCCTGGGACAGGCATCACTGGTGGGAGGGGCGTGGTGGATGTGGAAGCCTGATTTTCCTACCGCTTGCTCAGAATACTGTCACTTCTCCATACCCCCAGGAATCTGTCTCATCCTGAAATCTGAGCTCCAGATTGTTGCTGGGGAAAATCTCGGGGCTGCATATTTGTTTTTGGCTTTCTAGGGGGCGGGGAAGTCAAGCCGCCATTTTAAAACTGGAAGTCTCCTTTCTCGCTGAATCATCTGGGCTCGGCCAGAAGTTAGAAGATGGAGGCGCCCAAGGGACTCATGCCGGGAATCCCAGAGATGTGGGAGGCCCAGGCGGAAGGAGAGATCCCGCCCCTGCTGGCCCCACTCCCGTCTCTAGAAAAAATACAAAAATTAGCCGGACGGTGGCGCGCATCTATAATCCCAGCTACTCGGGAGGCTGAGATGAGAGGATCATTTGAGTCCAGGAGTTCGACAGCAGCCCGATCAACAAATCCAGACCTCACCTCTACAAAAATATAAGTAAATAAAATTTTGGAGGCAAGGTCTCACTCTGTCACCCAGGCTGTCGCCCTGGCTGGAGTGCAATGGCATGATTTCGGCTCACTGCAAACTCCACCTCACGGACTCAAGGAATCTTCCCTCCTCCCAAGTAGCTGGGACCACAGGTGTAGCCACGCCTGGCTTTTTTTGGTTTTGGGTTGCTGTGGTTGTTTTGTTTTGGTAGAGACGGGGTTTCGCCATGTTGCCCAGGCTGGTCTTGATAATCCTAGCCTCAAGTGATCCGCTAGCCTTGGCCTTCCAAAGTGAATGGATTACAGGCGTGAGGGACCGCTAAGTTTTATATTTGCAGTAGAGACCGGGTTGGCTCGGCTGGTCTCAAACTCCTGACCTCGGGCGATCCGCCTGCCTAAGCCTCCCAAAGTACTGTGATTACAGGTATGACCACCGTGCCTGGCCGAAAAACATAACTTTTGGGGGGAAAAAACACATTCAAAGGAGTACACAGTTCTAGGACGAATAAAATAACCCTCAGGTACCCATCCCTTCCGTCTACCTGGGCAGGAAGGCTGCCTAGGGCTTGGCGCCCAAGCACCTGGGGACCATCCTCCTCCAGTGAGGCACTGTTGAGGACCCACTCTAACTGATCGTCTTTGGCAACTACAGAGCGGTTTCCAGGGCAAGGATGGTGGTCCACCCACCATCCTCTGTCTCTGCCTTTCCTGGGAACGTGGCTCCCTTCAGCAGGAGGCACCACGTTATCCAAAGATGAGGCAAGGACAGGCTTCGACTAGAAAACTCAACATGGTATGAAAGTTGGTTGACGCTCGGGACTCACTTTTTCCGCCACGGAACCAGCGCACTGAGAGAATAGTTTCCCTGCGCCTGGTGCAGGCATCAGTAGTGGGAGGGGCGTGGCGGATGTCGAAGTCCGATTTTCCTACCGCTTGCTCAGAATATTCTCATTTCTCCAAGCCCCCCCCCCCCATCTGTCTTCATCCTGAAATCTGAGCTCCAGGTTGCCGCTGAGGAAAATCTCGGGGCTGCATATTTGTTTTTAGCTTTCTAGGGGGCGGGGAAGTCAAGCCGCCATTTTAAAACCGGAAGACCCCTTTCTCGCTGAATCATCTCGGCTCGGCCAGAAGTCAGAAGATGGAGGCGCCCCACGGGACTCATGCCAGGAATCCCAGAGATGTGGGAGGCCCAGGCGGAAGGAGAGACCCCGCCCCCCACCCGGTCTCTACAAAAAATACAAAAATTAGCCGGACGGTGGCGCGCATCTGTAATCCCAGCTACTCAGGAGGCTGAAACGAGAGGATTGCTTGAGCCCAGGAGTTCTACAGCAGCCTGATCAACACAGAGAGACCTCACCTCTACAAAAAAATAAGTAAATTTTTGGAGTATGGTCTCACTGTCACCCAAGGCTGTCGCCGTAGCTGGAGTACAGTGGTGTGATTTCGGCTCACTGCAAACTCCAAGTCGTTGGACTCAATTTTCCTTCCTCCCGAGTAGCTGAGTCCTCAGGTGTGGGCAGCCACGCCTGGCTCATTTTTTGGCTTTGGGTTGTTGTTGGGTGATTTTTTTTTTTTTTTTTGGTAGTGATGGGGCTTCGCCATGTTGCCCAGGCAGGTCTTTATAGTTCTAGACTCAAGCGATCTGCTAGCCTTGGCCTCCCAAAGTGTTAGGATTACAGGCGTGAGCCACGGTGCCCAGCTCAGTTTTGTTGTATTTTTAATAGAGACGGGGTTGCATCATGTTAGCCAGACTAGCCTTGAACTCCTGACCTCAGGCGATCCACCCACCTCAGCCTCCCAAAGTGCTGCGGTTACAGGTGTAAACCATTGTGCCTGGCCAAAAAAAACCCCCATAACTTTTGGAAAAAATACATTCAAAAGAGTATACAGTTCTTAAGACAAAATAGCTCTTGGTTACCCATCCCCTCCGTCTACCTGGAGGGGGAGGCTGCCTAAGGGTTGGCGCGCAAGGACTTGGGGACCATCCTCCTCCAGTGAGGCACTGCTGAGTAAACGCTCTGAAAAAGCGTCTCTGCCGAGCAGTTTCCAGGGCGGGGGATGGTGGTCCGCCCACCGCCCTCTTTGTCTGCCTGTCCTGGAAACGTGGCTCCCTTCAGCAGGAGGCACCACGTTTTCCATGGTTGCAGCAAGGACAGACCTCCAACCAGGAAACTCAACATGGTGGGTAATCTGGTTGACGCTTGAAACTTATTTTTTACACCACGGAACCTGCGCACTGAGAGAAGAGTTTCCTCGCGCCTGGTGCAGGCATCAGTGGTGGGAGGTGCGTGGCCGATGTGGAAGCCTGATTTTCCTGCCTCTTGCTCAGAATATTTTCACTTCTCCGTGCCCGCCCCCCCCATGGATCTGTCTCATCCTGAAATCTGAGCTCCAGGTTTGTTCCTGGGAAAAATCTCAGGGTTGCATATTTGTATTTGGCTTTCTAGGGGGCGTGGAAGTCAAGCCGCCATTTTAAAACCAGAAGTCCCCTTTCTCGCTGAATCATCTTAGCTCAGCCAGAAGTTAGAAGATGGAGGAGCCCACGGAACTCATGCCAGGAATCCCAGAGATGTGGGAGGCCCAGGCGGAAGGAGAGACTCCGCCCTGCCCACCCCAGTCTCTAGAAAAAATACAAAAATTATCCAGACGGTGGCGCGCATCTGTAATCCCAGCTATGCCGGAGGCTGAGGTGGGAGGATCGCTTGAGCCCAGGAGTTTGACAGCAGCCCAATCAACACAGCGAGACCTCACCACTACAAAAAAATAAATAAATTTCTGGAGCAAGAGCTCTGTCACCCAGGCCGTCGCTGTGGCTGGATTGCAGTGCCGTAATTTCAGCTAAATGCAAACTCCACCTCATCGGACCCAATCTTCTCTCCTCCCCAGTAGCTGTGACCACAGGTGTGAGCAGCCATGCCTGGCTAATATTTTGGTTTGGGGTTGTTGGGTTTTTTTGTTTTTGTTTTGGTAGTGATGGGGTTTCGCCATGTTGCCCAGGCTGGTCTTTCTAGTCCTAGACTTAAGAGATCTGCTAGCCTTGGCCTCCCAAAGTGTTAGGATTACAGGCGTGAGCCATGGTGCCCAGCTAATTTTTATATTTTTAGTCTAGACGGGATTGCACCATGTTGGCCAGGCTAGCCTTGAACTCCTGAGCTCAGGTGACCCGCCCGCCTTAGCCTCCCATAGTGCTGGGATTACAGGTGAGAGCCACTGTGCCTGGCTGAAAAACATAACTTTTGGGGGGGTGAAATACATGCAAAGGAGTGCGTAAAATATGTGCAGTTTGAAGCGTAACACAATAAACCTTCAGGTATCCACGCCCTCCGTCTACCTGGATGGGAAGGCTGCCTAGGGGTTGGCGCCCAAGCACCTGGGGACCATTCTCCCCCAGCAAGGGGCTGCTGAGTACCCACTCTGATTGAGCATCTCTACCTGCTACAGAGCAGTTTCCAGGTGGTCCGCCCACCGCACGTTTTCTCTCTGCCTGTCCTAGGAACATGGGCTCCCTTCAGCAGGCACCATGTTTTCCATGGCTGAGGCAAGGACAGGCTTCCTGCCAGGAAACCCAACATGGTGGGAAAGCTGGTTGACGCTTGGGACACGGTTTCTACCACGGAACCCACGCACTGAGGGAAGAGTTTCCCGGCACCTGGTGCAGACATCAGTGGTGGGAGGGGCGTGGCAGATGTGGAAGCCCGATTTTTCTACCGCTTGCTCAGAATATTGTCACTTTTCCGTGCCTCCCCCCCCCGCAACCGGGGATCTGTCTCATCCTGAAATCTGAGTTCCAGGTTGTTGCTGGGGAAAATCTCGGGGCTGCATATTTGTTTTCCACTTTCTAGGGGGCGGGGAAGCCGCCATTTTAAAACGAAGTCCCGTTTCTCGCTGAATCATCTCAGCTCGGCCAGAAGTTAGAAGATGGAGGCGTCCACGGGACACATGCCGGGAATCCCAGAGATGTGGGAGGCCCAGGCGGAAGGAGAGACTCCACCCAACACCCCCCCCCCCGCCCCCCGTCTCTACAAAAAAATACAAAAATTAGCGGAACGGTGCTGTGCATCTGTAAGTAATCCCAGCTACTGGGTAGCCTGAGGTAGGAGGATCACTTGAGCCCAGAAGTTCCACAGCAGCCGGATCAACATAGCCAGACCTCACCTCTACAAAAAAATAAGTAAATAAAATTTTGGCGACAAGGTCTCACTCTTTGATCCAGGCTGTCGCCCTGGCTGGAATACAGTGGCGTGATTTCGGCTCACTGCAAACTCCACCTCGCGGACTCAAAGAACCTTCCTCTCGAGTAGCTGGGACCACAGGTGTAGGCAGCCACGCCTGGCTAATTTTTTGGGTTGGGGTTGTTGTTTTGTTTTGTTAGAGGTGGGGTTTTGCCATGTTACCCAGGTTGGTCCTTATAGTTCTGGATTCAAGCGATCAGCTAGCCTTGGCCTCCCAAAGTGTTAGGACTACAGGCATGAGCCACCGTGCCAGCTAAGTTTTTTATTTTTAGTAGAGAGGGGTTTTCACCGTGTTGGCCAGGCTGGTTTCGAACTCCTGACCTCAAGCGATCCTCCCGCCTCAGCCTCCCAAAGTACTGGGATTACAGGAGTGAGCCACCGTGCCTGGCTGAAAAACATAACTTTTGGGAAAAAAATACATTTAAAGGAGTATACAGTTCTAAGACGAATAAAATAAACCCTCGGGTACCCATCCCCTCCTACATGGGCGGGAAGTCTGCCTAGGGGTTGGCGCCAAGCACCTGGGGACCGTCCTCCTCCAGCGAGGCACTGCTGAGTACCCGCTATGCTTGAGGTCTCTGCTGTCTACAGAGCAGTTTCCAGGGCGGGAGATGGTAATCCCGCCCTCTTTGTCTCTGCCTGTCCTGGGAACCTGGCTCCCTTCAGCAGGCACCACGTTTTCCATGGCTGAGGCAAGGACAGGCCTCCAACCAGGAAACCCAACATGGTGGGAAAGCTGGTTGACGCTTGGGACTCATTTTTACACCACGGAACTCGCGCAGAGAAGAGTCTCCCTGAGCCTGGTGCAGGCATCAGTGGTGGGAGGGGGCGTGGAGGATGTGGAAGCCTCATTTTTCTGCCGCTTGCTCGGAATATTTTCACTTCTCCATCCCCCCCACCCCCACTCCCCCGGGGATCTGTCTCATCCTGAAATCTGAGCTCCAGGTTGTTGCTGGGGAAAATCTCGGGTCTGCATATTTGTTTTTGGTATTCCAGGGGGCGGGGAAGTCAAGCCGCCATTTTAAAACCAGAAGTCCCCTTTCTTGCTGAATCATCTTGGCTCGGCCAGAAGTCGGAATATAGAGGCGCCCAAGAAGCTCGTGCCAGGAATCCTAGAGATGTGAGACGCCCAGGCGAGAAGATCACCTGAGGGCAAGAGTTTGAGACCAGCCTGGGCAACATGGAGAGACACCAATCCCCAACTGCCCCCCACTGCTTCTACAAGAAGTACAAAAATTAGCCGAACAGTGATGTGCTTCTGTAACCCCAGCTATTCGGAAGGCTGAGGTGGGAGGATCACTTGAGCCCAGTAGTTCAAGAGCAGCCTGATCAACAGAGCAAGACCTCACCTCTACAAAAATGAATGAATAAATGTTTGGAGACAAGTTCTAACATTGTCACCCAGGCTGTTGCCCACGCTACAGTGCAGTGGTATGGTTTCGGCTCACTGCAACCTCTGCCTGGTGAACATAACCTTCCCTCCTCCCAAGTAGCTGGGACCACAGGTGTGGGCAGCAGCCATGCCTGGCTAATGTTTTGGTTTGGGGTGGTGGTGGTGGTGGTTTTGGTAGACGGGGGTTGGCCATATTGCCCAGGCTGGTCTTTCTAGTCCTGGACTCAAGCGATCTGCTGGTCTTGGCCTCCCAAAGTGTTAGGATTGCAGGCATGAGCCACGGTGCCCAGCTAATTTTTGTATTTTTAGTAGAGATGGGGTTGCACCATGTTGGCCAGGCTAGCCTTGAACTTGTGACCTCAGGTGATCCGCTCACCTCAGCTGCCCAAAGTGCTGGGATTACCACCGTGCCAGGCTGGAAAACGTAACTTTTGGAAAAAAATATGTATATATTTAAGGGAGTATACATAAAATATACGCACAATTTGGAGAGTAATAAAATAAATGTTCAGGTACCCACCCCCTGTCTACCTGGGCAGGAAGCTGCCTAGGGG